GAGTAGGTAACCTTTTTACCTTTTTGTGGGTAGCATGGCCCTTATACAATCTTAAAGCGTAAGCTCAGTTCGCCTAGAAATGCTCGACAAGTGAGGTGATGAGCACACAAGGCAGGTTTGTAACGGCGGCCGCCATCCTCATAGGAGTGCTCTCGCTTCCGGTACAAGTCTCGGAGCTGCTCTCACTCCTGCGCAGCATGAAGCAGCTCACCCAACCTTGGGAATCCTTCCGCTTCTTGGGGTTTGGGGTTGAGGGTTTCCTCATATTACAAAAAAGGAGGCCATGACAAAAACGTGCTTTTCCCCCTTTCCCTAAGAGCTTCCGTCCCAAGGCAAGAGGAGGAGCGTGAAAGAGTCAACAGCATCGACAGCTGCATCGTTCTGGCCAGCGGCTCTTCGGCCGCTGCTGTGGCAGCCGTGGCGGTGGAAGAAGCCCCCTCCGAGAAGTTGGATCCTGAGATCACGGTGCCCACGCCCACGGCCGACAGCCTTGGCAGCTCCGCCTCCGGCTTCCTGAGCATCTCTGTCGAAGACTTCTGCCGGGAGGCTGGGGTTGAGAGCACATCCCTAAGCGTCCCGATCCTGGACGCCGACGTTGGGGATTTTTTCACCGTCTTGGAGGACGTCTCCACGGCTGAACACGTCGTGCCGGAGCCCCGATCCCGAGTGAAGCTCTTAGCAGCACTGGTGCGCCGGAAGAGGCTTTACAAAGCCGACATGCGCACGCAGAGCCCGAGCGGCTTAGCAGGGTAAGCGGCTCTCCAAAAGGAGCGACTCGCGTTCCCGTCACTGGAGCAATGGCAACTGATGAGGCATTCTGCAAACTCGGCATCAAGAGGGCTTAGGGTTTGCCAATGTCGAAACCGGCGCAAAAAGTGCTTCCTGACGAGGCAGTGATGGTTATTCTGCATGGAATTGCCAGTGCCTAGTCAACCGCTGCTACGAGCCAAGCCCAATCGTTTTGTCAGCCATCCCTATAATAGCTATTGTGTGTGGGATCTCAACTTCATGCCGCTTTCGATGTCAAGCTTGGGCCTGGGGGGTACCGCATTGGACGATTGAAGCTCATAAAGATATGGGCTTATGATTGCGGACGTAGGGTTAAGTTATTTAAGTTAAGGGTTACATCACTAAGACTTTGCTGCCGGTCCTTCTACGCACCCCCCCCCCCCCCCCCCC